TATGGCCAGGGAGTGCAGTGGAGGATGGCCCAGGTGCTTGGGCCTGCACCCATGGGAGACCAGGAAAAGCACCTGGATCCTGGATCCTGCCATCGGATCAGCGCGGTGTGCCGGCTGCAGCGGCGGCCATTGGAGGGTGAACCAACGGCAAAGGAAGACCTTTCTCTCTCTGTCTCTCTCTCTCACTGTCCACTCTGCCTGTCAAAAAAAAAAAAAAAGATTTATTTTATTTATTTGAAAGACAGAGTTAGAGAGAGAGAGGTCTTCCATCCACTGGTTCACTCCCCAGATGGCTGCAACGGCCAGAACTGAGCTGATCTGAAGCCAGGAGCCAGGGGCTTCCTCTGGGTCTCCCACATGAGTGCAGGGGTCCAAGCACTTGGGCCATCTTCCACTGCTTTCCCAGGCCATAAGAGAGAGCTGGATCAGAAGAGGAGCAGCCGGGACTACAACCGGTGCCCATGTGGGATGCTGGTGCTTCAGGCCAGGGCTTTAACCTGCTGCGCCACAGTGCCAGTCCCTCTCTTAAAAAAAAAAAAAAAGATTTATTTATTTATTTGAAAGGCAGAGTCACAGAGCGGTGGCAGGAGAGAGAGAGAGAGAGGTCTTCCATCCTCTGGTTCTCTCCTCAATTGGCCACAACAGCTGGAGCTACACCCATCTGAACCTGGGAGCCAGAGCTTCTTCCGGATCTCCCACATGGGTGCAGGGGCCCAAGGACTTGGGCCATGTTCTGCTGCTTTCCCAGGCCACAGCAGAGAGCTGGATCAGAAGTGGAGCAGCTGAGATGCCAGCACTGCAGGTGGTGGTGGCTTTACCTGCTTTGCCCCTAATGGCTGCTCTTGATAACCACTGCTGTTGTCATTCTGAAATGGCCACTCCCCTCACTTGGCCTGTTTACCTGGGGGAAGCTAATTCCATCCACTCCTGGCTCCTGATCCTCCTGAATGAATCTGTATTTTCCCATCCCTTGGCCACAGTTACTGCTCCAAACATGGGTATGTGACGTAATTTGTTCCAAGGACACATTCAAACAGATCTTCTGTGTGCTTCTGGAAGATAAACATGTTTGTAATACTGAGATAAGTTCAGAAGAAGTCGTTTTTACTCCTTTCAGATGGTGTTTAAGATTAAACAGCTGGAGTGGCCATTGTGGCTCAGCAGGTTAAGCCATCTGAGGAGTGATCCAGTAGATGGAAGATCTCTCTCTCTCTCTGCCTCTGCCTCTCTGTAGGTCTGCCTTTCAAATAAATAAATAAATAACTCTTTTTTTTTAACAACCCTATATAGCATTAATAAAACTGAGAGGTCAATTTTAGAATTATCTGTCAATTTTTTGGTTGTAAGATAATATTTCGCGGGGAGTCAGTATTATGGTGCAGTGGATTAGGCAGCTGCTTGTGATTCTGACATCCCATATGGATGCTGGTTCTAGTTCTGGCTGCTCCACTTCATGTCCAGCTCCATGTGGCTGTGCCTGGGAAAAGCAGTGGAAGATGGCTCAAGTACTTGGGCCCCTGTATCCACATAGGAAACCTGGATGGAGTTCCAGGTTTCTGGCTTAAGCCTGGTCCAGCCCTGGTCATTGCGGCCACTGGGGAGTGAAATCAGCAGATGAAGATCCCTCTCTATCTCTTTTTAACTCTGCCTTTGAAATAAATTTTAAAAAAAAAAGATATCTCTGCATGATCCTAAGATTTACTTAATTAATTCTAAATAATTTTAATAACATTAAATATGCAAGGAGCTGGCGCTGTGGCATAGAAGGTAAAAAGCTGTTGCAGGACCAGCATCCCATAAGGGCACCAGATTGAATCCTGGCTGCTCCTCTTTTGATCCAGCTCCCTGCTAATGGCCTGGGAAAGCAGCAGAAGATGGCCCAGGTACTTGGGCCCCTGCACCCACATGGGAAACTCAGAATAAGCTCTTGGCTTTTCAATGGCCTAGCTCTGGCCATTGAAGCCTTTTGGGGAGTGGACTAGTGGATGAAAGACTTCTCTGTCTCTCTCCCTCTCTCTCTTTCCCTGTAACTCAGCCTTTCAAATAAATACATAAATATTTAAAACAAAATGTGCAAAAAGGAGAGTCAGAACAAAAAGGTGTCGGTATGTGCCCAGTACAGTTAGGAACTTCCTTTCTTTACTTTTAAATATTTATTTATTTTCTTCTTCTTCTTCTTCTTTTTTTTTTTTTTTTTGAAAGGCAGAGAGACAAAGAGAGAGTGAAATGGAAAGAAAGAGATCGTCTGTTTGCTGGTTCATTCTCCAAATGCCCAGGACAATAAGAGCTGGGCCAAGCCCAATTCAGGAGCCCAGAACTCCATCCTGGTCTCCAGTGTAGGTTGCAGGAACCATCACGTTCTGCCTCCTGAGGTGTACTAATGTACACCCATTACAGCAGGTGGCTGTAATTGGAAGCCGAGTTGGGATTTGAATCAGGCCCCCTGATATGACATGCAGGCATCCCAGTTGGTCACTTAACCTCTGTGCCAAATCCCCACCCCAGTTAGGAGCTCTCTGAGAAGAGGCTGCAGAGAGGAGATGGGCAACCTTTGCTGACCAGATCACCAAAGTATTCTGGACTGAGTCCATGTTTTCCAGTCAACTTTCTCATACAATTTGACTTTCCAACTCTTTGGATTTTCTTGACAATTATATTGTGATTGTAAATAAACTGGCAAATTATTTTGTGTGTTTCTTGTGAGTCTTAGCATGAGCCTTTCCCCCTAAATCTGATTATCTCTGAGTACATTTGAAAAGTCAGTTCTAGACCAATGTGATGCCGCTCCCCAAACGCCCATTAATGGCTGGGGCAGGGCCAGGTCAAAGCCAGGAGCCAGGAACTCCATCCTCATCTCCCATGTGTGTGGCAGAGGCCCAAGTACTAGAGCTTCCACCTGCTGCCTCTTAGGGTGGGCATCGGCGGGCAGCCAGATGGGAAAAGGAGTAGCTAGGACTTAACCAGGCACTTGGATATGGGATGCAGGCATTGCAGAATGGTAGCTCAGGGTTAAGCTGCCGCACCACAAAGCCTGCCCACTCCTTTCAAATCTTCATTAGTAAAGCCATCAGAGGTGAAGTCTGATTCTGTTCAAAGAGCTTTATTATAGAGAACACACAGAGCATACTCTGTTCAAAAACACAAGGTCTCCTATTCCCTTGGAGCACTGCACTGTGAAAGCCACCGTCCTGGAGCTGGCGCTGTGGTGTAGTGGGTAAAGCCACAGCCTGCAGTGCTGGCATCCCATATGGGCGCCGTGGGTGGGTGCAGGGACCCAAGCACTTGGCCCATCCTCCATTGCCTTCCCAGGCACATTAGCAGGGAGCCAGATGGGAAGTGGAGCAGCCGGGACTCCAACTGGTGCCCATGTGGGATGCAGGCGCTGCAGGCAGAGGCCCAACCTTCAACGCCACAGCGCAGGCCCCCCTAATTCAAACCTTTAATGCTGTATTTCTCCCCATGTATCCTAGTGCAGTCCCTTCCCTGGACAAATATTTGCAGAGGAACTACTGCATGCCCAGTCCTACCTTAAGACAGCCCAAGCCCCACTGCTCTCTCATCTATCCTCCTAAGGCGCTGTTTGGCACATGGCAGGACACAGGCAGTAACCGTTAGCGAATGCGCCCTGCACTGCAAGGCCCTTACTCTTCTTTCAAGTTCACCTCCCAATAAGGGGCCAAATTGGACCAACCAGTTACGCTTTGTCCACGATTTTTTTTTTAACCTTTTTAAGTGGCTGGGGAAAAAATGCAAAGACGATTTCTTGTGAAACATGGAAACTGTATAAAGTTGAAACGAAAGTGTCCAGAAAGTCTCACTGCAACGGGCCGGTCACACCCACGCCTTACTGCGTTGCCACACAGACCTCAGGGCCGCCAAGCCCCGCTTATTTACATCTTGAAGCTTGAGGGAAAAAATCCGCCAGGCCTGCTCGCTCTCCCGCTGGTCTCCACCGAGGCCGCCCACCAGACTGCGAGCTGGGACCCCGGAAACCTCCAAAGGCGCTGCTGCCCAGGGGATGCTGGTGTCAGGCATCACACCCGGGTTCGAATCCCGGGCTTGGCAAAGTCGAGTTCCCTCTGCGCATCACAGTTTCCTGTGTGCCACGCACTGACACAGAAGCAAGGAGGAGATAAGCCGTGGGGAGCCCTTCGCAGGCCTCCGGGCGTTTCTCAGGGAAGCCCCGGAGGCCGGCGTCACAGGCCCTAGGCCCGCTCTGGGACCCGGATGCGACGCCCGCGGGGTCGCCGCAGCACGGCCGTCGATCAAGGTCGCCTTGGGGGCGGGGCGTGGCCCGGCGGCGCTTCCGCCTGCGCGAGGCAGCGCGGGGCCGCTCGGCGGCGCCGGGCACAGCGGAGAACCTGCGTCGGCAGCCACTGGCCGCGCGGCCGGATGAGGGGGGCGATGGAGCTGGAACCCGAGCTGCTGCTGCAGGAGGCCCGCGAGAATGTGGAGGCGGCGCAGAGCTACCGGCGGGAGCTGGGGCACCGGTTGCAGGGGCTGCGCGAGGCGCAGAGGCAGGTCGGAGGGCCGCGCCCCGAGGGGCGCTGTGGGCCCCGGGAGCGAGTGGGGTGTCGTGCAGCGGGCGAGGGCGCACAGAGGGCTGCGGGGGGCGGGAGTGTCCCAGCACTGTGGAGGTGGAAGGAGACCTGGGAGGACCTGGGCTTCGGGGGACGTGGGAACTGGGGAGATCCCAGGGAAGGACCAGTTTGGGGGTTCCCGGGAGAGTGCGAGGAGCGGTCCCCAAACTGCGGGGCGGTGGTGGGGACGTGGTGGGTCCGCGGCCGGGCGGAGTTGGGGCCGAGAGCTTCCCGGAGGGCAGTGCTGGCCGCGGGGCCGGGAGGTGGGGACTGAGGAAACCTGCGGGGGGAGAGAGGCCAGTGTGGGACGGCGACCCCGAGGGGGCCCCCAGTGGGACGGGGCGGGTGTTGGAAGGGAGGGCAGGGCGAAGATCCGACAGGGGCCGAGAAGCGTCGGCGGCCACGCTAAATGAATGGAGTTAATCCTTGGATACTATCTTCTGTGAGCTTGAGTGCATTTTTTAAAAACTGCCTCAAGTAATCCCGATCTATTTGGTTTAGAATTTAAGGCGATGGTTGTTGGAAAGGCAGAAGCAGCAAAATGAAACGTTTGAGGGAGGGACTACAAAGGCCCGGGGAAATGGGAAAACAGATTTAAAGAGAGCAGTGCTGAAAGGAGACGCTAAATATACTTTCAAGTGGTGGGGTTATCTGTTTGACTGGGAAAGGGTCATCGAAGACGTGGGAAAGCGCATGGTTCTCTGCACCCTGAAACATACACAGAAAAAGATGGAACCTATTTGCCAATGTGTGATAGGACAGATGATCCTCGGGCTGCTACTCACATAAGTGCTTACTAAATGCTTTCTAAGTCAGTGGGATTCCATCTGAGTTTCTCTAAGTCACACTTGATATTAACGTGTATTTTCATCCTTGTAACTCCCGTGCTAGGTAGGATAAAGCTGTGGTAACAGTGTCTATGGATAGTCTCATTATTAAGAATAGTGAATATGGAGCCAGCACTCTGGTGAAGGTTAAGCCTCCACCTACGGGGCAGGCATCCCATATGGGCTCCAGTTCCAGTCCTGGCTGCTGCACTTCCAATCCAGCTCCCTGCTAAAGCACCTGGGAAGCAGTGGAAGTTGGCTCAGTGGAAGCTGGCTCAAGTACTTGGGCTCCTGCACTCACATGGGAGACCTGGAAGAAGCTCCTGGTTTTTTTGGCCTGACTCAGGCCCTGGCTGTTGCTGCCATTTGGGGAGTGAACCAGCAGATGGAAGATTTTTTTTTTTTTTTTTTTTGGACAGACGAAGTTAGACAGTGAGAGAGAGAGAGAGAAAGGTCTTCCTTTTCCGTTGGTTCACCCCCCAAGTGGCCACTACGGCCAGCGCGTTGTGGCCGCTGTGCTGATCCGAAGGCAGGAGCCAGGTGCTTCTCCTGGTCTCCCATGCGGGCGCAGGGCCCAAGGACTTGGGCCATCCTCCACTGCACTCCCTGGCCACAACAGAGAGCTGGCCTGGAAGAGGAGCAACCGGGACAGAATCTGGCGCCCCGACTGGGACTAGAACCCGGGGTGCTGGCGCCGCAGGCAGAGGATTAGCCTAGTGAGCCGCGGCGCTGGCCGGAAGATTTCTCATTCCTTCTCTCTCTGCATATCTCTGCCTATCAAATAAATACATAAACCTTAAAAGAAATTACTGAGCATGCTTTGGATTGCATATATCTCTCTACCCTTAAAGGCTGGTGTAGGCCAGGCATCATTTTTATTTTAGTGGTAACACTGGGAGCAGAATCTAGATAGGATGACCCTGACGTGGTGAATGCTTCCTAAGGCTTTTCCATGTACTCTGTTTCCCTTTGAAAACATCTGCGTTTTTCTCTCAGCTGTTTTGAAATAAAGATTCTAAATCTAGGACTTTGTTTAAAAAGAAAGAGATTAAATTCTAAGACGACCGTTTCAGCCAGTTAAGATGCCTTGTTTCTGAGCATGACTGTTGTTTAACTCTGCTTCAGCTGTTGGGAAGCAGTGGCGTGTAGCCTAGTGGTTAAGATGCCCACAGCCTGAAGGGAGTGCCTGGGTTCAGTGCACAGCTCGGACTCCTGAGCCCAGCTTCCCAATAGCAGACCCTGGAGGCAGCCAAGGCTGCCACCCATGTGGGAGACCTGGATTGCCTTCCTATCTCTGGCCCTTTCAGGCATTTGAGAAGTAAGCTACACACACCACCTCATACACACACCTCTCAAATTTAAAAAATTGTAAAGACCCCAAGAAGTAGTGGAGTTGACAGAATGAACGAGGTTGGGACCTTGATGTAGTACTTACTAATTGTTCATGTGACATTATATGCATTAAAAAATTTTTAGCGTAACTTCATCCTAAATGGTTTAGTATTTAGTGTCTAAACCTATATGCTATTAAATTTTAAACACAATAATTTAAACACAGGACATGTTTTCCTGTAATGTAATGGCATTTAGTACAGGTTTTTGTTTTATTTTTGAGGCTTATTTTCTCTCCTTGAGACAGAAAACTGTAACGGAACATCCATCGTGCCTGGGTTCCTGAAGACATTGCCTTCTCACCACACTGAACCCTGGTGTGGTTCTGTTTCTTCAGCTAGAATGTGTTTTGTGCCTGGGGCAATTACAAGAGTGCCTCTCCTCAAAGCTCATTCTAGTCAGGTGTGCATGCTTGGGGTCATAGACTAAGTCTTCTGGGAACTTGCATTTTCAGGAAGATTTGTGATGCAAAAATATTATCAAAATAAGCAGCTGCTTTTGCTTGGTGGTTAGGGTATTTTTAGGGTTCCAGTCACTTTCAGAATAACTACATAAACTTTATAAGTTTCTAGTCCAAGATTTTGCCAGGGGAAGGGATGAGAAGAGCAGAGAATAAGGGATTCTGCCCTTTGAGTATATTTTTTACCTGCTGATTTTTCTTCCTTCTGGCATAGAAACTTTCACGGTTATTGTTACAATTTGCCTATCATGAAATTCATGCCTTAAAGCTATCAGCCAGGGGTTTTTAGTATATTCATAAAGTTGTTCAGCCATCACCACTGGCTAATTCTAGAACGTTTTCATCACCCTTCCTCCCCCAAAATGCTGTACTCATTAGCTGTCATTCCCCCCAGCAACTAGCAACCACTAACCTACTTTCTGGCTTCTGTGGACTTGCCTGTTCAGGACATTCCATATAAACGGCATGAAGAAGTACGTGGGACCTGGTTAACTGACTTCTTTGACTTCACATAATGTTTTCAGGGTTTGTCCATGTGGTAGCATGTATCAGTACTTCAACATTTTTATAGCTGAATATTTACTGTACTATGCTTTGTTCATCCATTCAGATATTTATGATATTTCTACTTTTTGACTATTATAAAGGATTCTGCTATAAACATTTGTGTACTTTTTTAAAAAAAGATTTTATTTATTTGAGAGAGTTATAGATAGCGAGAGGGTGAGACAGAGAGAGAGGTCTTCCACCCCTGGTTTACTCCCTCCTAAATGGCCACAACGGCTGGAGCTGGCCGACCTGAAGCCAGAAGCTTCTTCCTGGTCTCCCAGGTGTGTGCGGTGCCCCAAGCGCTTGGGCCATCTTCTACTGCTTTCCCAGGTCACCAGCAGAAAGCAGAAGAACAGCTGGGACATTAACCAGCGCCTGAGCCACAGGCGGAGGTTTAGCTTCTACACCACAGCACCTGCCCCCGAAGGATTTATATTAAAAAAAAAAAAAAAAAGTGTGTGTGTGTGTGTGTGTGTGTGCACGCGTAGTTTGAAAGGCAGAGTTACAGGAAGAAAGAGAGGAAGATCTTGCATCAGCTGGTTTTCTCCCCAAATAGCCAGGATGAGGCCAGACCAAAACCAGGAGCCAGGAACTCCATCTCCCATAGGGGATGCCAGCACCACAGGCGGAGGGAGGCTTAGCCCACAGCGCCACAGCGCCGGCCCCTTGTGTACTCTTTGTATGGAAATGTTTTCAGTTCGTTTTGGCTATACCTAGGAATTGCTGAATCACGTGGTAACTTTTTATCCTCTCTGAAACTCTTAGCATAGTTTTTATCTTTGCTTCTGTTTCTTACCTGTTAGAAATCTCATGAGATCTGTCTTGTGTTAAAAAATCATGTGTTTGAAAGTCTAGAAGGAAGAAGAATAGGAGTCTTTTAAGATATTCTGCAAAAATAACTGCCAGCATGTAGAAGTTTCTTCTTTTGTGGTTAAGTTTAGGCCCTACCCTCTGTTTTCAGAGAAAAGGAAGTTCTGTGTAGGAATGCGAGGGTTGTCTGTAACTCTCACTGCCTGAATAAGTTAAAGGGTAGAGAGATGTTCATTGTCTTCAGGAAATCAGATAATGTTTACAACCAGCCTGGCTTGACTGGTGTTGAAATCATTAAGAGGAATTCTCAACAGCTCCCTGGAATCCTTGGTACTAAGATGTAAATACCGAAGTAATTAACTCCCACTCTCCTTAAATATTTAGTTTGTTCATTCACTCATTAAGTATTTCTTGAGCATCAGAGGTATTTCTAGGTCCCTGTACTATGGTCAGGAAAATTCCCTATCGTCATGGATTTACTGCTTTTGATGACTGATCATTAAATTATTACTCCTAAAAATAAAACAAGTAGGGGACCCCCGAGATCCTGTGTATTCATTGTTGGGTTTTACTTCATTGTGTTTTTCATCACTTGTCCTATTTCTTTTTTTGTTTTAAAGATTGATTTATTTATTTGAAAGGCAGAGTTACAGAGAGGCAGAGGCAGAGAGACAGAGAGAGAGGTCTTCCATTCGCTGGTTCACTCCCCAAATGGCCACAACGGCTGATCTGAAGCTAAGAGCCAGGAGCTTCTTCCAGGTCTCTCACGTGGGTGCAGGGGCACAAGGACTTGGGCCATCTTCTACTGCTTTCCCAGGCCACAACAGAGAGCTGGACCAGAAGTGGAGCAGCTGAGACTCAAACTGATGCCCATATGGGATGCTGGCACTGCAGGCAGCGGCT